CGGGATCCAGGGTGCCTTCCTCTGCCTGTCGTGCCGGCTCCTCCCAGGTGTAGCCTCACTCGGCATCCAAGGCTGCCCAGCCCCCAGGAGGTGGGGCCCCAGCCCGCACTGCCCAGTTCTCAAAGCGGTTCCCCCACGGCCCTCCTAGGTGGCCCTCCCTCCAGGCGCAGAATCAAGGCGGGTCAGAGGCCCGGGGCTGCCAGGCGGGGAGAAGACGACTGGCTGTTCTCTGAACCCGATGCTGTCCGTCCGCTGGTTCGCGTGCCCTCACTGGGAGCCCAGGCTCCAGGTGCATCCCAGCCCCGGGGGCTCCTGGGACCGGGGGCAGCTGTGATCCGACCTCTGACCCGGGCCTGGCGCTGGCCGTGTGCTAGGCTGGGCTCCCCCTGCCCATGTGCCCCACCCTCAGCCCTGGACTCTAGGCCTGAGCCACCCCCTACCCCTCTGTCCTGGGGAGGGAACAATGGGGCTCTTGAGCGCAGTGGGGCTCCTGGGGGGGACAGTGGGGCTCCAGGGGGGCAGTGGGGCTCCTGGGGGGCAGTGGGGCTCCTGGGGTGGCAGTGGGGCTCCTGGGGAGGACAGTGGGGCTCCAGGAGGGACAGTGGGGTTCCTGGGGGAGGAAGTGGGGCTCCAGGAGGGACAGTGGGGCTCCTGCGTGCAGCCCCGTGGATGCCACCTTGCCCTCACGCCAGCTCCTCCCCAGGCTCCATGGCAGCTGTCGGGACGCCGCTGCCACCTCCTCGCTCCCTGGGGCTGAGCATTTAACTCCAAGTCAGCACCTCACCACTCGCCCCGACCTGCAGTCCGCAGGCGGCAGCTGGCAGAGACCGCAGCCTCCCTGTGCCACGGGGACGAGACGGCCAAGTGCAGGTCTGGGTGAGGGACGCGGGCGGGCGCTCGGCTGAGGCACTGCGTGCCGGCCTGTGGGTAAGCGGAACGCGCCCCGTGTGTCTGCGGACGGGCAGACGGGAGGGGGTGCAGACAGGGAGGCGGCCCTCGGGCTGGGCTGGGCGTAGGAGGCCCCACACTCACCAGGGATGTGAGGCGGGAGGGACCCAGCCCCGCACCCGCCCCAAGCGGTGCCGCTACCAGGCAGGAGGCTGTGCGCGTGGTGCTTGCCCGCGGGGCCCCTCCTTCGAGGCGGTGCCCTCGCCCACGCTGCCGCCCCCAGGAGCTGCGTGTGGCCGTGGCTCCTCGGCCGCGGTTTCTCACCAGGACACCGGGATGCGGGCACCTCTCACCCGCGCTGCCACGCGCTGCAGCACGAACTCCCTTTTGTCTGTGCCTTCGTGGGGGGAGATTTGTGGTTCAGTTTTGCTTCCCTGACTTTTGTCCTTTTGGGCTGCACCCCAACCCCAGCCAGGGGCAGGCGATGGACAGAGGTGCCTGTGCACAGCGGCCAGAGCCGACCGCAGGGCCGAGGCCTGGGCGGGGCTGCCTGAGGGTCTGCATTACAGGAAGAGGCCTGACCCCGGTCTAGAAGCTTCTAGAAGCTGGACCAGCATCCCTGGGGAGACTCTCGGGTACGTGCCTGCCCTGAGGCCACAGCTCAGGCCCCAGTGCTGAGTCACCTCCAGGAGCGAATTCCACAGCCTGTGTCTGTGCCAAACACCTGCTCAGGGGCCTGCCTGTTCAGGTGAGGGGTGCAGGGGTGCACGTGCTGGCGTGGGCGGGAGGCGGCACCGCCTGCAGCTGTGAGCACGGGTGAGAGTTAACACGTTGGTACACAGGATGGTGCGTAGCTGCACAACACACACGTGTGCCGGTGATCTACAGAATCCCGCCCAAGCCAACCGGCATGCGCTCCAGAGAGCTCGCACAGTGCGCCGGGGGACGCTGGCTCCTCCGCGCCCTGGCCACGCACCCTCGGCCTGCGTCAGCGACGATCCTCACTGCAGATGCACTGGCAGGAACCAGTACCTTCCACCTTGGACACTTGAGGAAGCTGAGGTTTGGAGGGTGAGCAGCCCCGGCCACCGGCTGGGTGCCCAGTGACCGCTGGACAGAGGGACCCACACTGGGCCAGGCACGGAGCCCGAGAGGCCCTGGGGGAAGCCGCCACCATCGCCTGCCGGGACCCTCCCGAGGCTCCCGTCTGGTTCTGTCTGTGCCTCTGCAGCCCCACCGGACCGGGGTCCCGGTCTTTCTCGTGGAGCCACATCCGCGCCTTCCTGCTGGGCTGCCATCGCCTGGCTCACCCCACCTGCTCAGGCCTCTCATAGCTGCCCCTCTCAGGTTCCTAAACATGGCCCTCCTCAGGACACACAGATGTGTTCCAGGGGGCACACACGTGCACACATTCACACACCTGTGCATCGTCGCATGTGCACACATGTGAACACAGATGGACACGTGCCTGTGCATCGTCATACGTGCACACATTCACACACCTGTGCATCGTCGCATGTGCACACATGTAAACACAGATGGACACGTGCCTGTGCATCGTCATACGTGCACACATGTGCACACGCGTGCACACACAGCACCACCACAGGGCCTCTCGTGGCAGAAGCCTGAAGGACGAGGACGCCCTGGAGCCCACGGGTAGCACCTTGAAGTGAAGTGCCCTGTACCCATGGGGGCTGCTCCCTGGGCCCTCGTGTTGAGCACAGGCCCTGGCATGTGCCCCCGGGGGGGAGCTGACTTCCTGCACCTCCTCCTGTGGATTGGACCGTGGAAGTGCTCACTAATGGGGATGCCTCTGGGCCCCCAGGACTGAGGCCCCACCCCACCAAGTCCCTCCCAGAGGCCTGGCCCGCCTGGTCCTCCCCCAGCCCCACCCGCCCTGGGCCAGGAGGCGAGGCCTGAGCAAGGCCTTCTGAGCTCCAGGCGCCTCTGACGTTTAATTTTCGGGAACCCACCAGCTCATCTTCTAGCTTCTCCTGTGATGTAGCAACAGCCCCAGAATCAGGCAGCCTGGACAGCCCAGTAAATATTTACAAAGCCCGGCTGCTGGGTGCTGCCTCTGCGCAGCTGGCCCTGCGTGGAGGGGGAGGAAGGGGGAGGAGCAGGGCCCCCGCTGCACACTCACTTCCGAGGAAATGGGGCGGCCCCACCCCCACCATCTGGGGCAGCTCAGAGCCCAGGGCCCCACATGTGGGACCCTGCCGGGCGTCCCTGAGTCGTTTTCTCTAAACGACAGATCACGTCACCCAAACAACAACCCACCCCTGTCTCCCCAGGTGTTGCAGGTAAACTGAGGCACACCGAGACCCCCCACCCCCGCCCCGTCCCTCCAGCCGCACAGGCCCCTGTGGGTCATGCTCTGTCCAAGCTCTGGGAGGAGGTGGGAGGGACAGGGACCTCCTCGGAGCTGCTGGTGTCAGCCTGTGGTCTCCAGCTCCTGCCAGGACACTGACCTCGGCTCCTTCCCAAACCCTCGGCTCCTTCCACCGCCTCCCTGAGGCCTGACCCTCGGGGTCGCCCGGCCGAGGGAGGGGGACCTGGGAGCTGCACCCCAGTCCCAGGAGGGACCCGACCCCGCGGGAGACCTGGGGTGGGGGCGCCCTCCTCCTCCCACCAGAGGCCAGCTCCCGGCCGAGGCTCCATCTCATTGTGCGTTTCTCTCGTTGCCCCCCTTCCGGAGGCTTCCAGGCTCCTAACTTTCCAGCAAATAGACTTGAGGAAAAGCCTTGTTTATCTCACTAAATATCTCGATTAAAACATTCCATTCCACAAGCGTGACCAGGCCTGGCACCTCCCTGCTGCTGAGGCAGCCGGCCTCGGATCGGAGGAGCTGCTTCCTGCCTCCGTCTCCTCCCGGGTGCGGGGGCGACAAGGGGACGAGGAGGCCCAGCGGCCGCTCTCCGCTGACGGGGACCTCACGCCACCTCCTACCCCCTGAGGGCTGGACTGCAGGGCACCGTCCGGGAAACCAGCCGTGTGCCCTGGTCCCTCCACAGACCTGTGTCCAGACAAGGAGCTGCCCCTCTCGCCCAAGCCCAGCTACCCCCCTGCCCGCCCCCCCCCCCCCCCGCCAGCTCCTCCCCTCCCAACCCAGCTCAGTTGCAGGACAAGGCCCCCTGCAGGTCCCTGCTCCTCCTGCTGACGCAACGCCCACCCACATGGGGAATGTTCTCAGCGCGCACACCCTCCTCGTCCGCTACATGTGCCTTACAATCAACCAAAAATCCAGGTGGAAAACTTCCCTTTTCAGAGCCTGTGAAGCTTGGACTCACCTCTTGGTAGAATAACATCTTAGGCATTTCCACCAAAGAAGAAACTTCAGTTGAAACCCATGACAGATTTGGTTCAGGCCTGATTCTCAGTGTGCAGGATGCTGTCAGTGTCCTAGCGGGTGTGTGTGTGTGTGTGTGTGGAGGGGGTGGGGGGTAGAGAAATAACAATGAACTAGGCGCCCCGACCACCTTCAGAGACGCGTGTGGGCTCTCTGGAACGTGCCCCCAAAAACTTACATGATGAATCGCTAACTCCCCCAGGTGAGGAGTCAGCAGGTGGCGTCTGGGAGGTGATGGGGTTGTGAGGGTGGAGCCCTGGTGAGGGGGGTCGGTGTCCCTGTAAAAGGCCCACGGAGCTCCCGGCCCCTACCGCCAGGAGGCCACGGCAAGGAGACGCCTCTGCGGCCCAGGAAGGGTCCTCACCCGACACCCCGTGGCCAGGACCTTCACCTTGGACTTCAGCCTCTGGCCTGTGAGACTGGACACGCTTCTGTAGTGTGAGCCTCGGCCTGCGGTGCCTGCCCGTGACCGGCTGGGCTACGCACAGGGCCGGCCGAGGCACCGTCCTCGTGCTGGGACGGCGGCGGGAGCGAGAGCCGTCACTGTGAATGCTGTTCCCTTGTCAACACGGGTCAGGCCGGCAGCTCTTTGAAAAGGAGTCAGGTAGGGAAAGGTGCCTGCGGCTGAGCGGGGTGCAGACATCCCCCCACCGCCCGCTGTGGCTGCGGGCCCGCCAGGCATTCCTGGGAAAGAGGCCCCGGGCCCACACACCCCGCTCTGCACACGCCCCGGGCGGCGGGCCTCCTCCGTACCGCCTCCGGCCCGCTCCCCCTCCCGACCACACCTGCACGTGTCTCGGAAGCACTGCCTCGAGGAGCATCGCCAGCCTTGCGTGACCGCACACGCCTGGCCCAGGCAGCCCGTCAGCTGTGGGCGGTGTTGGCATCGACGCAGAAACTGGGTGTGGATGACCCTCTGGGAGAGCAGCAAAGAGGAGGTCCCCCGAGGACTGGCTCCAGCCACGTCCGGTCCTGAGCTCTGGCCCGACCTCATGGCCTCCTCCGTGGCTCACGCTCCGTGTGATCGCGTCGGCCAGCTGCCAGGTGACAGGAATCCGTGGACGGAGGGAAGGGCATCTGCTGGACGTGCATGGAGGACGGGTGCGTGGGCTCCAGGAACCGGTGCCAGGACCTGCATCTTCCCAAAGGAAATGCCAGCGAGGGTCCTCTGCACAGGACGGCCTGGCACGGCCGGGGATGTGAGCGGGTCCGAAACCAGCAGCGTCCACAGAGCACGGTGAATCGTGCCTGGCACAGCCGGGGGTGTGAGCGGGTCCGAAACCAGCAGAGTCCACAGAGCACGGTGAATCGTGCCTGGCACAGCCGGGGGTGTGAGCGGGTCCGAAACCAGCAGAGTCCACAGAGCACGGTGAATCGTGCCTGGCACGGCCGGGGGTGTGAGTGGGTCCGAAACCAGCTGGGTCCACAGAACACGGTGAATCGTGCCTGGCACGGTCCCCACCCCCGTCGGGGGAGGATGCTCCTCTGGCCCCGGCGCAGGTCTGACTGGAAAGGGCGGGACTTTGTTCAGGGAACATTCATGCCTGAGCGTCTGAGCTGGTGTGGCCCCAAGTGGCCTGGGCTTGGGGGGAAGTTGAGGGAAGGTCCTAAGAGCCTCTGCCAGGGGGTTCAGATCAGAAGCTCATTGCACAACAGGCTGGAAACATCTGTGGTCCTAACTCCAGCCAAGGGAGAGGACAGCATCCAGTGCCAGGTATGTGTCCTGCCTGACAGGTAGCCCAGGGCACCTTGTGAAAGGCCTGGCAGCAACCCACATCCCAGGGAGCCCACGTCCCAGGGAGCCCACGTCCCAGGAAGTCCACACCCCAGGGAATCCACGTCCCGGGGGATCCACACCCCAGGGAATCCACGCCCCAGGGAATCCACGTCCCAGGGAATCCACACCCTAGCGAATCCACGTTCCAGGTAATGCACGTCCCAGGTAATGCATGTCCCAGGGAATCCACATTCCAGGGAATCTACGTCCCAGGGAATCCACGTCCCAGGGACCCCACGTCCCAGGGAATCCACATCTCAGGGAATCCAGGTCCCAGGGAATCCATGTCCCAGGGAATCCACGTCCCAGGGAACCCAGGTCCCAGGGAATCCATGTCCCAGGGAACCCACGTCCCAGGGAGCCCACGTCCCAGGGAGCCCACATCCCAGGGAATCCACGTCCCAGGGAACCCACGTCCCAGGGAACCCATGTCCCAGGGAATCCATGTCCCAGGGAATCCACGTCCCAGGGAATCCACGTCCCAGGGAATCCATGTCCCAGGGAATCCACATCCCAGGGAATCCACGTCCCAGGGAATCCATGTCCCAGGGAATCCATGTCCCAGGGAATCCACATCCCAGGGAGCCCACGTCCCAGGGAGCCCACATCCCAGGGAATCCACGTCCCAGGGAATCCACATCCCAGGGAACCCATGTCCCAGGGAATCCATGTCCCAGGGAATCCATGTCCCAGGGAACCCACGTCCCAGGGAGCCCACATCCCAGGGAGCCCACATCCCAGGGAATCCACGTCCCAGGGAATCCACGTCCCATGGAATCCATGTCCCAGGGAATCCACGTCCCAGGGAGCCCATGTCCCAGGGAACCCATGTCCCAGGGAATCCATGTCCCAGGGAATCCACCCCCCAGGGAATCCACGTCCCAGGGAATCCACGTCCCAGGGAACCCATGTCCCAGGGAATCCATGTCCCAGGGAACCCACGTCCCAGGGAGCCCACATCCCAGGGAGCCCACATCCCAGGGAATCCACGTCCCAGGGAATCCACGTCCCATGGAATCCATGTCCCAGGGAATCCACGTCCCAGGGAGCCCATGTCCCAGGGAACCCATGTCCCAGGGAATCCATGTCCCAGGGAATCCACACCCCAGGGAATCCACGTCCCAGGGAATCCACGTCCCAGGGAACCCATGTCCCAGGGAATCCATGTCCCAGGGAACCCACGTCCCAGGGAGCCCACATCCCAGGGAGCCCACATCCCAGGGAATCCACGTCCCAGGGAATCCATGTCCCAGGGAATCCACGTCCCAGGGAGCCCATGTCCCAGGGAACCCATGTCCCAGGGAATCCATGTCCCAGGGAATCCACCCCCCAAGGAATCCACGTCCCAGGGAATCCACGTCCCAGGGAACCCATGTCCCAGGGAACCCATGTCCCGGGGAATCCATGTCCCAAGGAATCCACGTCCCGGGGAGCCCACGTCCCAAGGAATCCACATCTCCCTGGACGATGAGGAGAGTGGGAGGGAAGAAAGCAAGTTAGTGGAAATGTCAAAGAATCAAAACATTTAAAGACGAAGGCTCCCGTCTCTCTGTCCCTGAGCCCTCCCTCCCCACCAGGAAGAACACAGGTGCCTGGTGCTGGTCAGCGCAGGCTGCTGACAAACACCATCGCCGAGCGGCCTGAACAGCAGGAAGTCCTGGAGGCTGGCAATCTGCGATCGAGCGTCTGGCGTTGGTCTGTCCTCTCTCCTCCGAGTGTGGCATCCTCACGTGGTCGCTCCTCTGTGTGCGTCTGTGTCCTCACCTCCCCGTCTTCTAAGGGCCCAGTCCCATGGCATTGCGGCCACCTGAGGACCAAGCTGAGCCACATCACCCCCTTAACACCCCAACTTCAGGCGCAGGGCCCCCTGAGAGGCTGGGGATTAGGGCTCCAATGTGCAGTCCGTCCACACCAGGCCTCACGGTGACCGGAACCCAGGGCAGAGGTCCCAGTTGCTCCCCAAACCTCCTTGCCGCCCCTGGAGCTGGCACCGCAGACGGACAGGGACCCCCACGGCTTTTCCTCCACAAGCAGCTCACGGTCTCCACGGCGGACGAGGCTCGAGCCACAGGCAGGTGGGAACGCATCAGCCAACCCTGACGGGCTCTTTGAGGGAGTCGGATGGAGACAGGGCTGGTGTCGGGGAAGAGCAGCATTGCTTTCTGCCCTGTAGTCCAAGGCCATGCAGTGAGGGGGGCTCTTCTGGAAAGAGGAAGGAGCAGGTGTGGGGAGTGGACACAAGAGGGACCTGTCGGGCTGGAACCCGGGGCGAGGTGAGGCCTTGGGTGGGGTGGGTGTGGGGTGGGTACTGAACAAAGAACAATCCACCGGTGTGGCCCATCCACGCGGTGGCTCATGCCCCCCCCCCCCAGGGCTGCAGCTGGGGTGGCAGGGTCCCGGGGGCTGTGCCCAGGACGGTTCCACCGGGAACTCAGGGCAGAACATGCCATTTCACGCCTCTCCAGGACCCGCTAACGTCCTGCTGGTTCATCTTCCCTCGGGCGCGGGCGTGTAGTGGTGGGACTGATGGGACATGGAACTTGGGTCTTTGTGGGGCCACAGAGTCAGGAAGCCATGAGGACGGCTGACCCGCCCGGCAGCCGGACCACAAGCAGAGGCGGAGGAGCAGGAGACACGGGGCCCCGTCAGCTGAGTTTTGGACCAAGGAGACACTTCACTGTGCGACAGTCCACATCCCTGGGTGTGAGGATGAGGTTGGGGACTGGCCTAGGCGAAGCTTGAGGAAGTGGGTGGGTCCTTCCCAGCCTGGGAAGGAGGGACAGTCCCTCCCGGGCCCAGGAAAGAGCCTGGCATAGCCTTGGAGCAGGCGGGGCACAGGGCAGAGACGCGGGAGGCGGGGTTCGAGGGTGGATGGGCAGTGGCCCCTCTCCTCTGGGGGCAGGAGCCCACTGTGGGCATGATGCCCAGGCGAGAGGCCCCAGGGCACGGCTCACAGACAACCAAACGTTAACAGCCAACCGCAGCGGCAGCCTAGCGTTTCTGATGGGGATCTTGCAAAAGCTGCTGTTTCAGTCCCTGACTCACTGTGTGTCAGGGCCCAGCTGTGCCGGTCCCTCCATGCCCCCCCTCTCCCGGGCAGATCAGAGAAAGGAGGTGCTGTAGGTGCCCCTCACCTGTTTTATGACAAAAACATTGTACAAAGTTGAAAGGAAGAGAAGGGGGGGACAGAAAGGGATGAAAAGGAAGAAAAACCACTTTTGTTGAATTTGCTGAAAACTCTTGACGTGACTCAGGGGGAAATCCTAACCCGGAGGCGAGGACGGACATCAGGTCGTCACGCGAGGCCGCGCTGCCCACACGGGTGGTTCTGGAGTCCCGGGACCGACCTCCGCGTGGACTCGACGGACGGTCAGCGTCCCCAGGGCTGGTCTTCATTCTCACATGGCACAAGCACAAACAGCCCCCCAGGAAGAGCACTGAAAACACACCCAACCTCCCCCTCCCTAAGGCACTGATTCAGGGTCTCTCATGTCCCAGCCCAAGGCCAGGAGAGGTGGGGGGCGGGGGGGGGGGGAGTGCAGCCACACTCCTGGCCGTCCCCGAAGTCACAGCTTCCAGGGACTCTGTGATGTCTGGGCTGTGCTTGCTGGAGGGCATCCGTTGGTCCTGAGACGGACAGTGTGTGCGGAGAGGACAGTATTGGGGCCGACACAGACACCCAGGAAGAGACGGCACATGTGGGCTTCTCCCAGCCCCAGGGAGCCGGTCGCCCCGTGAGTTCCCAGAACCTCCCGCCCCCCACGTCCCGCTGGGAAGGGAAGTCACCAGCCCCGTGAGGGAGGATCGGTGCCTCGTCCCACAGCCAGGGCCCTGGGCGGGGACAAGCTCTGGGCGAGGCAGCGGCCGCTTTGTTCATCTGGAAGGTTTTAGGCTGCAGCTGGTGGGCCAGGTTGCGTGTTTGTGCACAGAACACGTTTCATCTGCACGCGCTCCTCCAGCCCACGTCCGGGGTGGAGCTGGGCCCCTCCCCCTGAGTCTAGGGGCTCCTGATGTAACCAGCAACTCGCACGCTCACCGGGTTCCCAGAACCGCCTGTGAACAGAGGTGTCCAGCCGCCCCGCAGCCCTGCGTGTGCTGAGACATGGCTGCCAGCCTGGGGGGCTGGGTGAGGGTGGCTGGGGGCTCCACAGCCCGCAGCCCACAGCCACTCTGGCCCGGATTCTGTGGCTCCTCTTCTTCCAGCCCCAGGTGTCCTTCCTGCACCGACGAGTCCGGGAAGAGCCAGTGAATGTGGAAATCCCGTTTCCTGCCTGTGAGATGAGTTGATTGATTCATGAAGCCCCCGCCCCCTCACCACCTCTCAGGATGCCCTCTCGGGTGCTCTGTCGGCTGTGCTTAATGAGCCTGTGTCACCAGGAGCACACGCGTGGAATGAACAGGCCGCGTGGGGAAGGGGTCCAGGAGCCCCCGGAGCTGCACGCTGCAGCAGTCACAGCTGCCAGCAAACAGCACAGAAGGCAGCCTCTCCCTGAGCCTGGGGACAGTCACACAGACACCCCGACTCATCCTGCTGCTTGTCCTGCCGAGAACTGGTCTGAGCCCTTCCCCACACACCCCCCTCTACCCACCCCACCCCAGCACAGGGCGCATGGCGGGGGCAGGGCCGCAGGCCCTCTGTCCCCAGAGAGGTCCTCAGCCCGAGTCGGGGTGCAGGCCACACACACCTGCCCTCGGTCCACCCCGCCAGGACAGCACGGGGCAGCATGTCCTTAGCAGAAAGCCGCCAGCCGGAGCAAGCGGGCGCCACGGGCAGGCGCAGGGGCCTCCAGGGCCTGCCTCCTGCTTCCCGCTCCCCACCCCTCTGTCTCACCTCTCCTTCCCCTGCACAGTCGGCCCCTTATCTGAGGGGACACGTGCCAGGACCCCAGAGGCACCTCAAACCGCAGACAGCTCCGGCCCGTAGGCCGACCACGTTTCTCCTGTGATGACAGTCACACGGCACGCACCACCCAGCTCCTCCCGTCGCCAGCACATGGTCGGCCGACCAGCAGGGGCCTCGCCTGAGGCTTGATTTGCATTTCCTGGGACTGAGGACGCTGAGCGGCACTTACGTGTGTCTTCTCTGGGGATGCGTCTGTTCAAATACTTTGCCTGATTTCATTGGCTGGGTCGTCTCTAATAACTAAGTTTTAAGCACTGCACCTTCTTCATTCATCCCGTACTCAGGCGTCTATCGCATGCGCTTCCTCCCGGTCTCTAGCTCCGGCTCTCTTCCCAGATGGTGTTTGCACAGAGCACAAGTTTGTCATTGGGTGAACTCCAGTTCATCGTGGGTTTAGCTTATGAGTCAGGGTTTTGGTGTTGTAGCTATGAAATCTCTGCTCAGGTCGGAGAATTTCCTCCCATGTTTTCTTCTAGCAGTTCTATGTCTTTTAGGTTCTACACTGAGGTCTAGGATTCACTCTGAGGCCACTATGTGCCGGGAGCCGGTCCATCCTTGCTGCTTGACACAGTCGCTGCAGGGAAGAAACACCCGCACAGCATATGCTTCAAGGGGCCTGGCCTATAGGGCATCCTGTTCTTACTATGTTTGCTCCCCTTCTTAGTGCTATGTGCTCTAAGCAAGGCCACCTCCCCGAGAAAGGATGTTTCCCCAGGTGGGGATGTTTCCCTGGAGTTAGGGATTAACGGGACTAAGGGAGGGAATAAATCAGTAAAACCCCCTAGTGTTACAGAAATACCGTGTACTACTTATGAGGAACTCAGACTAAGACTGTTAACAATAAATTTAGGACTTGCTAGGCCCACATCCCCAGGGGTCTACCCACCAGAGAAAGTACCAAAGCCTATAGCCCTAAAAACCTGCCAACGCAGGGCAGTCCCAAGGAAGACCACCAGCAAGGCTAAAAGGACATAACCTTTACCTAGGCCATAGAATAAGAAAATTCCCTTCAGTTATTTCCTTATAGCTTAACAGTAGAGCAGTAGAATAGTGACCTTGGAATAGAAATAACAAACTAGCCCTTATAATGGAACACAGACACTAACCTTTAGAATAGAATGTAGAAACATAGACAATAGATGAGATTAAAATCAGCAAAGCTAGATAGAGATAAGATTTTTGGCAAAGGTCAGATAAGAAACTATAAACATAAAACAAGGAACTGTAGAAGGTCAAAGGAGGACCCAAAACATACCATGATGTAACTATAGAGGCATGCTTATAGAATCAAATAGTATAAATACAGTAGTGACAGGACAATAAAAAAGAACCTGACTATGTTGATCGTCTGGACACTGTCTCCATGTCCTTCATTCTTCGCTGACGCCGTCCACACCTCTGGGAACCCCTGGACCACTGGGGCTGGACCCTGGCAACTATGTACATGGCACAAGGTATCATGTTGAAGATCACTTTTCGAATACGGCCACCCAATTTCCCCAGCACCTCCTGCTGACCAGACAATCTTTACTCCATTGACATGCTTTTGCCACGCTGTCAAAAAGCAATCGATGCCCTGACCTGTTTGGCTCAGCGGATAGAGCGCCGGCCTGCGGACTGAAAGGTCCCAGGTTCTATTCCAGTCAAGGGCATGTACCTTGGTTTCAGGCACATCCCCAGTAGGGGGAGTGCAGGAGGCAGCTGATCGATGTTTCTAACTCTCTATCCCACTCCCTTCCTCTCTGTAAAAAATCAATAAAGCCGAAACCGGTTTGGCTCAGTGGATGGAGCGTCGGCCTGCGGACTGGAGGGTCCCGGGTTCGATTCCGGTCAAGGGCATGTACCTTGGTTGCGGGCACATCCCCAGCAGGAGATGTGCAGGAGGCAGCTGATTGGTGTTTCTCTCTCATCGATGTTTCTGACTCTCTATCTCTCTCCCTTTCTCTCTGTAAAAAATCAATAAAATATTTTTTAAAAATCAATAAAATTTAAAAAAAAAAAAAAAGAAAGAAAAGAAAACAAAACAATCGACTGATTCATCCATTTACTCACTCCGGGATGCTCGAGCCTTCCATTGACTGATCTGAGTGTCAGGATGCCGAGACCACCCTGTCCGGTGACTACAGGGTGGCCATGGGTCTAAGAGCGGGTCTGTGAATCCAGCCTCCTGCCCCGGTGCCACCTCCTGGCTTCCAGGCCTGTGCTTGCCCAGAGAAAGAACAAGAGAATGAAGGCAGGAAGGATGGAGTGGGGTGGAGAGCGAGCTCAGGGCAGGACACGCCTCCACCCCCAGGACCCCGGCCCTCCTGGGCTCAGGGATGTCCGCGGCTGAGACTCGGCCAAAGCTGGGAAGACCCAACCACAGACAAACCCCCCGAACCAAGCAAAACATTCCTTCGTCCTCAAACAGCGTGTTTCCTTTCTCCTGGCTGGAGTTCAAGGGTGAGAGGTCGGTTTTCTTCACCCCACCCCACGCTGCTGGCCTCGTTGGTCACGGCGCCTGGGGACGCACATGGGGACTGTTCTAGAACTCGATAAGCCTCCTGGGTTTTGAATTCTGGAGGACGCAGGGATGTTTTGTAGTTTGATATGGTTTATTTCAGAGAATACAGAACTGTTTCCTGTTTTGCAATAAACCCTTTCATAAGCCTCCACGAAGGCTCGGACACCCTCGCCGGGGCAGGGAGCTTGGCAAAGCCTGTCCCTGTCCCAGCTCCTCTCGCAGCGAGGAAGAACGGGTGGTGGAGGCCCAGCTCCGACGCGTGTCCGCAGCCCGGCTCAGAGGCCCCGTCACTGCTCCAGGCCGCGCCTGCTCCCCCTGAAGTCTGGGTGCCGGCACCCACTGTGGAGAGGACATCGAGGCGTGGAGGCCTGGCCTCTACAGTCACACCAGGGCCACCTGCTGAAGAGCCCAGGAGGGGGCATCCCTGCGCCGCGGCCCTCGGGGGCTCACTGCTGGCCGTGAGCAGCTGGCAGGGCATCGTGGGGGTGGCTCCATCTCCTCTCTGCTCCGCCCGAGCTCCCTGGAGTGCCCCCCAACCAGGCAGGAGTGGTCTCCCAGGCCAGTGACCACCACCTCCATCGCCACAGCTCGCCCAGCCAGCCTGCCCCCCGCCCCCCGGGCCAGTCTCCACCTCAGCTAACATGCCAGGCCACTCCCGCGCCGTCTGCAGCTCCAGCCAAAGTGGACGAAAGCTGAGCCCGCTTCTGTCCCTTCAGTTCATTTGCACGTCACCGTAACGTGAATATAAACGATGAGGTCGAGATGGATCTGAAAACAGAGCACCTGCGGCTACACGTTAGATGAAAGGTGCACGTGAACATGCTACCCGCGGGCACTGTTTGAAAATCCCTGCTTCCGTCCATCTTACCTCCGAGGCTGTTTTCTCTGGTTTGACGATTATTATATAACCAGAGGCCAGGTGCACGTAATTCATGCACGGCGGGAGGGCGGGGGAGGCGGGGAGAAGTCCCTCAACCCGGCCTGCACCCTCTCACAATCTGGGACCGCTGGCTCCTAACCACTCACCTGCCTGGCTGCCTAATCACCGCTAACTGCCTCTGCCTCGGCTCCCACCACCATGGCTTTGTCCAGAAGGACCTCTGGAAGGATGTCCAGAAGACGTCTGGTCTAATTAGCATATTACCCTTTTATTAGTATAGATTAAAGCAAAACACAGAAGCTGCCGATGTCCCTCAGTCCTACCAGAGCTGGCGTCAGCAACCCAACCAGCCAGGGAGGCTGATGGTCACAGGGAACGCTGGCCGTGGACTCAGGGCTGACCATTGACTCAGAGCTGATCTAGGGCTCAGGGCTGACTGTGGGCTCAAGGCTGAGCCGGGACGGGGAGGACGGGCATGCTCACCGAGAGAACGAGAGAGAAAGGGGGAGGGGAGCACGTGGGACAAATTCCATCAGACCTCTGACATCTGGCCTGCCCGGACGCACCCACAGCCAACCAGGTCCTTGTGAGCATGCAGACCGGTGCCCCGTGGCCCAAGCCGGCTGGTGGCCTGGGCGCAGGACAAGCACAGCGGCTTCCCGGCGTTAGAGGTCCGACGAGGGCCGGGCCGAGGGCAGCCCTGTCTCTGGGCGGCTCTCCTGGAGTCGCTGTGCAAGAATGGTGGGCAGCCGCCGCACAGATGGCTCTTTGTCCTGCTGACACCTGCCATCTGCTCGTTTGTCGAAACGCCGCTGGAGGGGCAGGGGCTCCAATCTGCCGCCAGGCCCCTCCCACCCGCAGCAACCTCCTGACCCCGGGCAGACAGGGCCCCGAGCCTGTTCTCCCAGCACAGAGGACTCCTCTGCGCCCACGTCCCAGCCTCTCCCCGGGCTGTGCTCAGTGCTCAGTGCTCGGTGCTCAGTGCTCGGTGCTCGGTGCTCGGTGCTTGGTGCTCGGTGCTCAGTGCTCGGGGCTCGGTGCTCGGTGCTCGGTGCTCGGTGCTGGGTGCTCGGTGCTCGGGGCTGGGTGCTCGGGGCTCTGTGCTCAGGGCTCGGTGCTCAGTGCTCGGGGCTCGGTGCTCGGTGCTCGGGGCTGGGTGCTTGGGGCTCGGGGCTCGGGGCGGGGTGCTCGGGGCTCGGGGCTGGGTGCTCGGGGCTCGGTGCTCGGTGCTCGGGGCTCGGGGCTGGGTGCTCGGTGCTCGGGGCTCGGTGCTCGGGGCTCGGTGCTCGGTGCTCGGGGCTCGGGGATGGGTGCTCGGGGCTCAGGGCTGGGTGCTCGGGGCTCGGGGCTGGGTGCTCGGGGCTCGGGGCTGGGTGCTCGGGGCTCGGGGCTGGGTGCTCGGTGCTCGGGGCTCGGGGCTGGGTGCTCGGGGCTCGGGGCTGGGTGCTCGGGGCTCGGTGCTCGGGGCTCGGGGCTGGGTGCTCGGGGCTCGGTGCTCGGGGCTCGGTGCTCGGGGCTCGGGGCTGGGTGCTCGGTGCTCGGTGCTCGGGGCTCGGGGCTCGGGGCTGGGTGCTCGGTGCTCGGGGCTGGGTGCTCGGTGCTCGGGGCTCGGTGCTCGGGGCTCGGGGCTGGGTGCTCGGGGCTCGGGGCTCAGGGCTGGGTGCTCGGGGCTCAGGGCTGGGTGCTCGGGGCTCGGGGCTGGGTGCTCGGGGCTCGGGGCTGGGTGCTCGGTGCTCGGGGCTCGGGGCTGGGTGCTCGGGGCTCGGGGCTGGGTGCTCGGGGCTCGGTGCTCGGGGCTCGGGGCTGGGTGCTCGGGGCTCGGTGCTCGGGGCTCGGTGCTCGGGGCTGGGTGCTCGGGGCTCGGTGCTCGGTGCTCGGGGCTCGGGGCTCGGGGCTGGGTGCTCGGTGCTCGGGGCTGGGTGCTCGGTGCTCGGGGCTCGGTGCTCGGGGCTCGGGGCTGGGTGCTCGGGGCTCGGGGCTCGGGGCTGGGTGCTCGGGGCTCGGGGCTCGGTGCTCGGGGCTCGGGGCTGGGTGCTCGGGGCTCGGGGCTGGGTGCTCGGTGCTCGGTGCTCGGGGCTGGGTGCTCGGTGCTCGGGGCTGGGTGCTCGGTGCTCGGGGCTCGGGGCTGGGTGCTCGGGGCTCGGGGCTCGGTGCTCGGGGCTTGGTGCCCGTGCCCAGGGCAGGTGCCGGTGCTCAGGCGGAGCAGGGCAGGAGCAGGGCAGGAGCAGCCTGCGGAGGAGAAGCTGCAGCAGCAGCAGCTGCGGCCAGGCCCTCCCGGGGCCTCCTGCTTGGGAGCCGGGCTGGAAGCTGCTGTTTGAAGCGCAGCCCTGGCACCTGTTAAGGAAGAGAGTCATCCGACGAGGGCTTTGCAGGGAGAGACCCCGGGGCAGATGCTGGAGCCGCCTCTGGGCAGAGCCTGCAGCCGCAGGGACGCAGGGACCGGAGAGGCGCTGCCCATGCCTGACAGATGTGAGGGAGGCGGGCTCAGGGCTGCAGCGGGCATGTAACAAGGATGAAAACTCACTCGGTCCCGCAGGGCAACCAGGCCTGTGCGATGAGGGGAGGGGCCCTGCCATCTCTGTGCTGTCCCTCGGGGCCCACATCACCCACTTCCCAGCCAGGGGCCACACCTCCGTTTCACAGCTGAGCTCCCCGAGTCTGCATGAAGGCCAGGCTGGGACCCGGGTCCTGGCTGCCTTCCTGCCTGAGCCCTGTGACCCTGAGTGCACAGGCCGCTAACGACCCCCAGAAACCATGCAGCCTCACTGTGCCACCGCCGTGAGGCCCGTGAAGACGGGCTCAGAGCTGCCCATGTCCCAGGAGCTTGCGGCTTCGCCTGGTCCCAAAGCACTGCTCTCAGGGTGACGCTGTGAGCCGAAGCCTCCGCTCTCCTCCCAGACGCACAAGTGCTGTCTCGGGTCCCCCTGCTGCCTCACGTCTCACTGCTGTCTCAGATCGCAGGAGCAGAGTAGCTTCTGGAGGTCAGGAAAAAGGGCGCTGCCCACCTGGCCCCGCCTCCCACCTGCATGGACTCCAGTCCACAGCTGTGACAGGCAGAGCCTGGGCGGCGTTCTACCTCGGAACAGAAGCCTGAGCAGTCAGGGGCACCGTTGTTGACGGACAGCGTCCCATCTACTCGTACACGCAGTCTGTGAGCCGCATCCGCACAGACGTCCCCTCGCACAGGCGTCCTGTGACCGCCGGCGGTGAGAGCGGGTGTGGACAGGGCTCACACGATCGATGACCTTTCTGACAGCCGTGAAACGTGGATCTTCTCTCTCTCGGTTTCTCAGATGGACAGGCAGACGCCCACAGTGCCAGGGGGGTGGCCCTCACACCCCAAAGGTGTGGCTCAGGTGTGTCTTGGCTGTGAACATCTTTACAAAACTCTCCGTCTCTTCAGTCACTAGACCCAGAGGTGTGTGCTTTATGCACAGATCCCGCCGTCTGTCGCACTTCACAGGCACCTGCGTGCGGGGGCCCCAGAGCCTGCAGCACGGCCCACATGCGGCCTGAGCGATGCTCCTCCCTCGTCTGCAGGGCAGCCCCCAGGCACCTGCCGCGGATCCTGGGTCCTGGAGGGGGGAGGTCGGCGAGTCGTCAGTGGGTTGCACACCCGCGGCGTCTCCCGGGGCCTTGAGGACGCTGCTCGGGCGGACGTTGGCGGCACTGGCTGCAGGTTTGCTGGTTCTGAGTTTCTGGCCGAGCAGCTGTGCTGAAGCCAGAGAAAGAGAGAGGATGCTGGGCGCCCAGTGGAGAGGGTTCTGCCCAGAGACGGACGTGGGTGAGGACCACGATTCTCTAGGCGGCTCCAGAGTGACACGGAGCTCCGTGGTGGCTGTCACGTGTCAGGCAGGTGGGAGCCTCGAGTTCCCGCCACCTTTCAACCCTGGGTCCTCACACCAGGAAAGGAGCAACGCCCGCTCTCCCAGTGCCGGCTCCGTCCCAGTTCTGTCCGGGCTCCGTCCCAGCTGTGGGTCCCTCCCACCAGGCCCGCTCTCCGCACGCGCCCGGTCTTCACGGAGCCTGAGCCGGGCGCTCTCCGCACGCGCCCAGCTCTGTGCCCAGCACAGCCCGTCCCTCCAATGAATGTGCAAGCCAAGGAGTCGAGGAACGGCTCGCGGCTCTGCTTGTCTCCATGAAACCGCTTTTTCCCGAGGATAAAGGACATTTGGATGAAGACGTTTCTTGGCGTTTCCGTCCCTGCCCCTGCGGGACCGCCGGGCTCAGTCCTGAGCGACCTACTTTCCGTCCCAGCCCGAGGCTCCCAGAGGCTATTGTGCGACATGAATTAATTTTTCCAGTCGCTGGAAATAGAATTCCACTTAAATAAAACCTTTCAGAACCCACTGGTGGCTGGGACAATGTCATCAATCTCATTTGTATTTTTCAATTAAGTGTTTCCAACTGTCTTTATACTAATTGTGTTTGCAGATCAGAGACGGTGCCTCTCACATGGAAACACAAGAAGTGTGGTCTCGGCCCCATGTTCTCGTGGGAAACAGGAGGCCAGTGAGCCAGCAGGAGCTGGAGGCAGGGGCCATGCCCGAGCGAGGGGAGCGGGCACGGGCGGGGGCACAGGCGGCACGGAGAGCGAGGAGGGCCTGGGCCTGGGCCTGGCCGTGAGGGTGCACGTTGGGGTGCCTTTGTCTCCTTGGGGGCTGCTCAGCCCGGATGCATAGACTTGGCGTGTGGGAAGGAGGGAGCTCTGTGACCTCACGGGGCCAGTACCCCATCCCACTGCCACCCACGCACTGGCTGGGCTCTGCCGATGCCGCCAGAAAACCACAGGCCAGGGAGCTGGCAGTCTCGCTGGGAAGACTGGGTGCAAATGCAGAGAACGCCAGGGCCTCGCGGCTGACACATGGCTCAGTGCTCGCTGGAGGGGACTGAACCCCAGCACGAAGGCACTGGGGCAGCCCCGGCTCGGGGAGCAGCACAGCCAGCATGGACGTGGGGCTCTGAGCCGGGCAAGGATGCAGGGGCTGTGGAGTCAGAGGCAGATTGTGGGCGCGTAAGGAAAGGTGTGTGGAGGGAGCCGGGGGCCGGGAGTTGACGTGCGTGGAAGGAGGCCTGCCCGGGGGAAGGAATCCCGAGACTCCTCAGAGCACAGCCGGTGCCGTCAGCACCAAGACCGTGTGGGATGGCGACGCCGCGACAGGAATGGGTCCAGAGCTCGGCAAGGGGCACGCCTGAGCACGGACGTGAAGTGGCGGGCGTCGGGGATCACGCACGGCCCGGCTCCGGGAGCCTCCACCTCTGTGAGACACTCGGGTCTGGAGTGGACAGCGGAGGGCCGGGCTGTGCTCCTGTGCCCCGTCTGTCCGTCCGTCCCCGCTCCCCTCTCCCTGGCATGGCCCCGGCTGCCTCCCACTCCTGCTGGCTGACTGGCCTTCCTCGGGTGTGGAACACCATGTCTGGGGGACACCATGACTCAGTCCTGGATGCACTGCCCACAGCAGCCCCCAGGCCACGGTTTCTGCTCTGAGCCTTCTCTTCATCTGTGCCGGGAGCCGGTCCATGCTTGCTGTTTCAAGGGACCTGGCATATATGGCATACTGTTCTTAATATGTTTGCTCACCTTCTTGGCACTATGTGTTTTAACCAAGGTCTCTGAGAAAGGTTGTTTCCCCAGGTAGGGATTTTCCCCTGAAGTTAGGGAGGGAATAAAAACCTCTTAACTAAGTGCCAGGTGGGTAATTAATCACTTTAACTACGAACAATCATGCTTAAGCTACATAATCTTTACTCCCTGGAATGGAGATAAAAAACGCCCTAACCTTTGAAATAGAGATTGATAGGATTGGAATCAACTGGTATAAATACAGATGTAAAAACACAGAACTTAGGAGACAGAACCTAGGCACAGACCCACACAGAACGTTCTCTAGAGACAGAAGAACTTCGCTGGAGAGAACATGGCAAAAGATCCTGGCTAGAGATCCTGGCTAGGCTGCTGATCAACTGAACACTGTCTCCGTGTCCTTCCTTCTTCGCCGACTCCGTCTACACCTTTGGGGACCCCTGGACCTGCTGGGGTTGGACCCCGGCACCGCCGTGGAAACCACAGCCTCTGGGTCTCAGAGACGGCAGACGGGACTTCCTCCTGGCTGGCCTGCGACCGGCGCCCCTGCCCCCCCCCCCCCCGGCGCATCCCCCATCCACGCAGGGGCTCCTGTTCCCGGGCTGCCCCCCTCCCCCACCACCCCACCCCCCACCGCTCAGCGTGCTGGCTCGCCTCTGCACCCCACGCCTCTGGACTCCCGTGTGGGCAGCCTGGTCCGCACGCTGCCCCTGCCCCTTGTCCTTATCGGGACTTCCTGCTGTGCCTGTGGACTTTCCAGCCGCGGCCGTGCCAATTGTCCCCGACAGGAAATGGGCTTCTTACTCCTCCACTATCGCCCGGACATCGCCCTCCTCTTTCCTGTTCCAACTGCATTCACTACGTCTCCACGGCGCCCCTTCCCCAACGTCCCGGCCTCCACAGGGCTCACTGCAGCCTTTCACGTCGAACAGGCTGAGAAAACACGCCTTCGCCCTCTGGCCGCTCACGTCCACGCTCCCGTGTGGAACTAGGACGCTGAGTCAGCTTCCCTCCTCTCCGTCCCAGGAGGCCCGTCCGCCCTGGCTGTCCCCGTCCCTCTCCTCCTCGGCGGGGTGTCCGGGGCCCGCGGTGAAGCTAACCGGTCACGTCCCTAAAACACGGGCCGTCGAATCAGAGCCCGTCCCCCCCCCCATGCCGGCGACGTGTGTGCACCCCTCAGGGAGCTGCAGCGCAGGCCTGTGGCCTCGGTGGGAGAGTTCCCGGGGTCACGGCAGGCAGGCAGCAGGAGGGCTGCTGTTGCCAGAGGTTCGATGGTCGTGATCGAATCCCCTGGAGGTGGGGCCACAGAGAACAGCCGATGCTCCCACGGTGCTGAGCGGCCAGGGTGCCCGTCCCGAGGGGCTCATCAGGGTGTCCGTGTGGGTGGCCCATGCGAGGCGTGTGGGCTTG